GTCCTTAGTCTCGTTTGCCCACATGCGAGGCAGTAGGCAAATCCTCAAGATGGGGAGTACCTCTGTGTCACCCTTGTGGTAGGAGGACAGCCTTCCCTGGTAAGATCCCCAAACTCTGGTCCCCCTTTCCAGGGCTGCCCGCTAACAGCGCGGGACGCAGATCAACCTGCTTCCGAGTGGTGACCCGCGCCCCCTCGTGGAGCCCTCGGGTAACAACACCTTCCCGCTGGCTTCCTCTGGTTCCTGAATCCTGTTCGGATCAAAAGAGCCTTAATTCTAAGTCCTTGATCTTAAGGTCAGTGGCACTGTTTGCTCTGGCGCTGAAGGGACGGCTCCCTGTGGGCTCCCGCCAGGTCTGATGATGAGGGCCAGCAATGACAGCTCATCGGCGCTCAGGCCTACCGCGCATGCGCTTTCGCCCTGTACCTGGCCGAAACCTGGGGTCCAGCCAGCCCCGGGCCTCAGACCCGGCCTCGAACCACAGACCTTGCCTTCTCACAGTTTTGGAGGTGGATATGCAAGGCCAGGTTGGCTTTGGACCTTGCAGACACCCTCACGTGGTGGCGAGGCCGGGCTCTCTGTGGCTCCTTTCCTTACAAGGGCATCTCTCAGTTGGATTAGTCCCCATCCTTATGCCCTCATTAAACTTCAATTGCCTCCTAAAAGTCCCATTTCCAAATACTGTCTCAGTTGGCATCAGGCCTCCAACCTATGAATTTGCAGGTGTGGGACACATCAGACCTCAGCGTCCACCCCAACTTAACTCCACCTTGGAGTGACTACAGCACCTGACACACCAGCCCTGGCCACACTGTGGTACACACGCACCTGATGTTCCCACTTCTTGTGCCTCATGCTCGCCACATTGGAATAGTGTGGCCTGTGTTGGCAAGGCCAGGGAACACAGAAGGAGCCTGTTGTCCCCATCCCCAATATGGGTGGTTTGACAGAGTTGGCCTCGAGAGATCGCTGCCTACTGTACTGATGGTCCTGGACTCAGGGTGGCTCATCCTCTGTGACCGTGTGAAGCAACATGGCTCCCATAGAATCCACACTTTGAACTTGGAGTTTTGGTCCTTTCCTGGGTAGCAATGCCTGTCCCGTACTCTCCGGTCATCTGGCGATCGTGAGCGGAAGCCAAAGGACACTTCTTAGGGCATAACCCATCCCAAGGTGAAGATACTTGGGTTCCCTTCTTCTGAAGAGGGTGGTGGTGTCTCTGGGATCTCAACCCTGTTTCCTCTCTCCTATGGCCCTCGGGGCTTCCCTTCTGATGCTAGATGCATGTTGGAGCCCCTTGCCCCACGCTGCCCCACTCCATCGAATTATCCAGTTCTTGAGACACCAACTGGGTGTGCCACCATTTAACTCAACCCTGACACCAGCTGCCTGGAGTTAGCATCAGATCCAACAGCCTGAGGGCTCGGGACTACAGTACTGCCCACGTTGGCAAGGTCCATTGTCACTTGTGCTTCTGACCCACTGCCCATGTACTGGAGGTTCCCAGGACCCCCTCCTCATGTTTGAGAATCAGCCAGGGCAGCTCAGTCACTCTTACCCTTTACTATAAAGGAGCCACCCTGAGCCCAGGACCATGGGTACAGGGAGCGACTCTCACAAGGCCAATCCTGTCAAGCCACCCCACTGGGGATGGGGACAACACACCCCTTCACTTCTCCTTCTTTTCTCTGAAGAGTCAGCAAAGAAATTCACCAGGCGAGGTATTGGGGGGTGGGCAGGCAGGATGGGGAACTTCCAACCGCGTGAGGTGACTCACTTCCAGAGCCACCACATGGTCATCCACCTGAAGCTCTCCAAACTGGTCCTCAGCAGTGGTACCGGGGGCTTGGTGACATGGGCGTGCACAGTGGTTTAAATCCTTGGCCCTTGGTGATCAGCACCACCCTCGGCCCCTCCCTTCCCTAGGAAACGAAAGTGCCAACCAATCACACGGTTGGTGATTAGAGGGCAACCAGCCCTCATCATGGGGTTACCCACCAGCCCCTGGGGGGCCAGTCACTTTAGCGATTCCAAGGGTTTTAGGAACTCTATTTCTTATTTTTTTTATTTATTTATTTTGAGACAGTGTCTTGCTAAGTTGCTTAGGGCCTCCATAAGTTGCTGATGCTGGCCTCAAACTTGTGATCCTCCTGCCTCAATCTCCTGAGCCCCTGGGCTTCCGGGCGTGTACCGCCATCCAGGCTCTTTTTCTTCTTATTGAACACAATACCACAATCTCCGTGCAAGAAATGAAGCTGCCCTCTTCCTCCCAGGAAGCCCTAAGAAGAGCTGCTTCATGCGGCTGTCCGCATCCTCCACCTAGAGGGTGAAGACCCCCGCTCAGTCATGCACGAGGGCCACAACTGTCACTCTTGACCCCTCCCCACTCTCCCTGCCCCAATCCACCTGCCTCTTGAGTTTGGCTCTGACATTTTGGAGGCACTGTCTGAATGGTTCCCTTAAGACACACTTGATGCAGGCCCTGGGGCTCTATGGGGGCATTAAATGCTCTTCTATTAGCCCTACTGTGTGCTGGGCTCAGAACCAGTGTGTTGTGGGGTGCATGGAATCTAGCTGGGCACCCCCAGCAGCCCAGCCTTCCTTGTAGCTGGGGTCAGCAGGGCCAGCTAGGGCAGCCTTACCGCCCATGAGGCCCAGCCCCCTGAGGCCACAGAAGTCAGGCTGTGCTCTGGTGGTGACAGGCCGGGCTCTTTCTCATGGTGCAGATGGCTCTCAGGCTGGAGGGAGCTGATCTGCCCCTTAGAAACCCAGAAAGACAGAGACAGGTGGAGAATGCTCCTTTGCCCTCAGATGTGGATGCTGGGCTAGGGGACCTGGGGTCTTGGGCCAGCTCTGTGGTCAGCCTCTGTGGCTGGCATGGTCTTTGCAGGATCTGTCCACAGTGCTGGGGCTGGACTGAGAGCTGAGGTTGGCAGAGCCAGGGGTGAGTGTGCCGGGCACTGGGGGTGGGTAGAAAAGGACAAAACATCCAAAAGCCCTCCCGTGCCCTTGAACTCTGGCTTTCCTGGGAGGGCAAGGTGCACACGGGGCAGTCCTGGTGCAGAGGCACTCTGGTGATGATTTGGGGTTTTTCACATAGACTTGTGAGCCAGGGCCTGTGTGTTCCCCGGAAGGGGGACCCTGGTCCAGCGATGCTCAGTGGTAAGGGCCTGGGCAGGACCTAGGAGGTTGTAAGGAGTATCTGGGAGGCAAGTTCAGGGGAAACAGACTGGATTACCAGGCAGGAGGCTCATGGTGTGTGCTCTCAGGAGCAAGGGCTGTGGGAGAGAGAGGGCAGAGAAGCGGGGCTGGGAGATGGTTCCTGAGTGGACTCAGGAGCTCTGGAGCTGGGGTGTTCCTCTGAGACAAGGGGAGCTGTTTTTCTGTTCTTTTTTTCTTGGTACTGCAGATTTGACAACCCAGGGGTGCTTAACCATTGAGCCACATCCCCAGACTTTTTTAATCTATATTTTATTTAGAGACAGGGTCTCTCTGAGTTGTTTGGGGCCTCGCTAAGTTGCTGAGGCTGGCTTTGAACTCACGATCCTCCTGCCCCAGCCTCCCCAGCTGCTGGGATTACTGGTGTGCTCCACCATGCCTGGCTGGGAGCTGGTTTTTCTATCTTCACTCTGGTCAGTTGGAGGAAGACGTTTCCTGGAGGCTCGTGACCCTGGGTAAGGCAGCCCCAGAGGCCAGCACCCAACACAGACACATCCGTCAGGGGCACTGATTGTCATAGGTGTGGAGACTTCAAAACCACACATTTTGTTTATTAGTTTCTTTTGTGGTGCTGGGGAGTTGAACCCGGGGCCTAAGACCACATGATTAACTGACAACCCAGAGCTCGGGGACGGTGGGAAGACGGTGTGACTGGGGTGGGGGGGCATTCCTAAATTGTGCTGTGATTCTAGGCCAGAGATTTCCCCCTCTTTTGGACTAGTGGGTGAGATGAGGAACAAAAGGTGGAGAGACACTGGGTCTGGCGTTGAGGAAGGCTGGAGCCAAGGGCTTGACGGGGCTGCTGCTTAGATGTGAAATGTGAAAGGTTTCTCATGCCTGCAATGAGGGTGTCTGAGGTGGGTCTCAGTAGTGTTGGTGACAGTAATGGGGAGAGCTGGAGGATGAGGGAGTAGGGATGGCGCTGGGGGGCGCTGGGGTATGGCAGCCAAGTCAGGGCAGAGGTGGGTGGAGGGCCAGAGATGCCCCACCTGGCTCCATCCCAGGGAAATGCAGCCCCAGGCTCCGGAGCACAGTACAATGCATGGTCTTGGGTCAGTGGGACTCAGACAGGCAGGCAGAGCCAAGGAGCTGGTTGAGGGGCCAGGACAGTGCTGAGTGGCCCTCTAGGGAATGCAGACTCTAGCTGTGGGTGCAGAAACCAGCGCGCTTCCTGGACGCCCCTGGCAGGTGAGTTAGAATGAAAGGCATCTAGGTGGGGCCTGGACTCGCCCCAGGTATTTAGTCAGTGACTCTGATCACACACATGCCCCCATGGGAGACAGAGGAATTTACAATCCCATCCTGCACCTGTGCACAGAGATGAGCCCCACACAGTGCATCCAGGGTCCGCTCAGTCAGTGAAAATTCCTGGTAGCTGAATTTCAGCATGGAGTGGTCCAGCATCTCCATGGAAACATCATGCACACACACCCTCTCACCCCTGAGCTGCTAGAAAGTGATGGGCAGGTGCTGTGTCATGAATCAGGCCTGGATGGAGGCATAGGCAGCATCAGAAATGACTGGCAGAGGGACAGAGAGGTGGGGGGGGGGGCAGGGAACAAGGGGAGGGTCATCAGACTGGGTGCCAATCAAGCAGCTCAGCTTGGGAGAAGGAGAAATCCGCTGATGCTCCCGCCTCCCACCGGTTGAGTAAGGGGATGACTGGGAGGTCAAGACTTAAACCCCCTAAGGAGCGGTTTTGGTGAAAATTTTCAGTGGACCCAAGAAAAGACAACTGGGGCCAGCTGCCCGCAGGAGGAACACAACCAACTTCATCCATATTAACTGAACAAAAGGTCTTTATTTGCACATGGCCACTAGGCACATAGTGAGCAGTGACCATCCCAGATAGCTGCCTGCCAACAAAGTGAGAGATCTGTGGTGGCTTTTCCAGACACCAGGGCAATGACAAAGTGACCAGGAGACAGAGATGGGGTTTTCACCTCTGTAGCTCCTGAAGACCACGCCTACCCAGGTGGAAAGACTGACACACGACGTCAAGCCCCAGACCCGTCAGGACAAGATCCGTTCACAGAATAATTTATTCGTTTCAAAGCGACAGTGGGCAGTTACTGGGCTGTGCGGACATCCTGCCTGGATCGGGGAGGAGGGCAGCCCCTCCGGGGGAGAAACACCACTGGAGCACAGCTCCCTTTAGAAAAGCATTTGCTCTGAAGCCATCTGCTTTAAAGCACCTTGGTTTGACCTTTCCGTGTGCACAGGGCCAGCTTTCCTTGGAACACGGCCCAGGAATGCGAGGGCCTTCCAGGTTGCGTATCTGGGGGTGCTGCAGGCCCCGCCCCCCCCAGGGGGCCTCTCAAGGGTGAGGGTGTCCGTGTTCATTGTCCAGAAGGGCTGGGTTCAAGGTCAGATCATTCCAAAGACAGTTACTTTCCCAGGAAAAAGGAAACAGCTTTCTCATGTTCCTCAGAGAGGGATGGCGTCCAGACACATGCCAAAATGGGCCTCCTCGCCCCGAAGGGGACACGGTGTGATGATTCCACATTGGCTTCCGGGGAACTTGTGTCTCGTCCAGATGGCGAAGCTGAATCCTGCGCTGGGGGCCGGCGCCCTAGTGGTAATAGATGCTGAAGGCGTGGAGGATGTACAGCAGCGTGGTGATGAAGGCAAAGAACTGGAGAGGGCCAGGACCAGGCCGTTAGAGGGCCGGTGCCAGCGCCCCCTCCAGCCCAGGAGGCCCCAAGCCCAGACCCTCCTCAGTGACCCCCCCACCCGGGAGCAGCCACCCCGGCCAGCTAGCTGGATCCTGGAGACTCTCCGTCCCTGGGCCTCCCTAGGGCCACACTCTCCTGGTGTCCTGCTCTGAGTGTCTCCATCTCCACCCTCAGGAGGGGCCTTGCCACCTGGCCATCCAGCTGGCTCTCCTCCCGCTCAACTGTGGCCCTGGGCACTGTCTCCTTGCCCCCTGCAGCCCTGCACCTGTGGGCCCTGGTGGCCTCCGCATTCACACTTGCTGGCCCACAACTGCTCTGAATGCCTCGGTGCCCCAGCTCTTAATGGCCCAGCCTGAACTGCTGGCCTTTCCTCACAAGCCCCACAAGCTCGGTCGGCCCCCGAATCTCACCTGGTATGGTGACCTGTGCCTCCAAATCCCTGGCCACCACCACGGCCAAAGCCAGGGCAGAGTCTGCAGGTCTCCCTGCCTGGCTGGCTCTTGGCACCGGCTCCTGTCTCAGCCGCGTCATCCCTCCCGAGGACTCCCCATGCCTCTACTTGGCTCCTGTTACTCTGCTCCCAGATAATCCCCCACAACAGGGAAGCGCAACAGCTTCAGACCGTGCTTGGAACCACAGTGGCTTTGCTCCCCTCTCAGGCAGAGGCCATCGCCACGACGGCCGGGCGCTGGCCTCGTCCCTCATGCCCGGCTGTCCTCACTCACACATTCAGCAGTCTCTGGAGCACCTGCTCTAGGTCGGGCACAACTATGGCTGTCACAGTGAACAGGATGCCGGATGGCTCCTGCCGCCCAGAGCTTACACTGTAGCAGCAGGAAGCGGAAAGCAGGCAGGACATACAGGCACTGGGGACAGCACCCCAAATGTGCCCTTCCTCCTGGCATAGCCCTGTGATCCAGGGGAGCTGCCAGGTGGACCCAGTTCTCCTCAGCCTTTCACCCCTGGACAGGGTCCAGCAGCACTGGCTCCACCTTGGAAGTTCCCTCGGGGACAAGGAATGTCATTGTGCGCTCCGGCCACGCGGGGGCACCATTCCACAGAGAGAGGGGAGTTGAGGTGCCTGGGACCAGGGAGGCCCCCAGCGCCAGATGCCCAGGGTCCTGCTCAGCCCAAGTTTGGTGGGACCACCTTGCCTGGGCTTTGGTCTGCCAACAATGCCACCCCATGGACTTTGGTTACTGAAACAAATGGACATGGGGACAACTTAGCTGTGCCAGGGACTCTGGCTTCATTTCAGAGCAATGGGGGGCATGGAGGTGTTCAGGGGGGAGAAACGATTCAATCTGCACTTTGGGAAAATAAATTCTGCATACTGTGGCGGATGTGACAGGCAGCGAGCGAGGCTGACCAGGATGGACAGAAGCCAGAGAAGGCCTGGAGCCTGGGCATGCGTGTTCTCTCTCTCTCTCTCTCTCTCACACACACACACACACACACACACACACCCCTCCTGCAGCTGGAGAGCTCAGGGTTGTCTGACACACGTGGGGCAGATTGAAACCTCTCACAAAAATGCCCTCCAGTTGGGTGCGGTGGCACATGCCTCTCAACCCAGCAGCTCAGGAGCCTGAGGCAGGAGGACCGCAAGTTCAAAGCCAGCCCCAGCAATCTGTGGGCCCTAAGCAACTCAGTGAGACCAAGTCTCAAAATAAAAAATTAAAAGGGCTGGAGACGTGACTCAGTGGTTACTCACCCTGAGTTCAATCCCAGTACCCCCCCCAAAAAAAAAGCCCTCCCGCTGTGGGTGTCCTGCCCCTGCCCGGCTGGCCCGGCCCACTCACCGAGGCGGTAGTGTTGATGAAGTAGTTTTTCAGGTCCGAGGACTCAGAAACGATGGTGGCGTGCGCCTGCAGGACAGCAGCGCTCATGTACAGGATGCCCGTGGTCCCGTGGTACAGGCTGTCCTGGGAACGCAGAGCAGAGGCCACCGCCACCGTCATTTGGGCAGGCACCTTCCTCTCTTGTGACACAGCAGGGAAGAGCGAGGAAAGGGGTGAGGTCCCCCACCCCCAACTCCTGCTGCTTCTCTGCAGAGTTTCTAATAAGATATTTTTGTACCAAATAATGGTGGAGCAGTGACAGCAGTGCAGGTCCCAGGCCCGCGGGCGCTCGCCCAGGGCCTGCTCGGCACCGGGAGTGTTTCTCGCCAACATCGCCAACCACCAGGGAGGCTCGCCTGCACTCAGTGTTGGTCTCATTTTGAGGAGATGGAAGCTCAAGGTTAAGGCCAATGACGGACTGGTCAGCCAGGTCTGAACAGAGGCTGGTTAACTCCCGGCTTTGAACCACTGGCACTGTGCTGGGCACAGAGGGATCACTGCCACCTGTCAAAGCCGTCCATGCCAACTTCCAGCCTACAGTCAACTCAGTGAAGAGAGCAGAAAGTCAGATCACACCCGGAGAAGCACACACACAGATCCAAAATAGGGTCCCCCGGGGAGGACAGTGGACCTCCTCTCTCCTAGAGGTCACGGGCAGGGCCAGATTTAGTCAGTCTAGATCCGAAAACACCCAAGAAACTTAACAACTAAGGCCCACAAGGCCCCTTGTGAGGATCCAGCTCAAACAAGCCAAGTGCAAAAAGACATTCCAGAAATAACTGGGAGATCTGAAGGTGACCTTGGTCTTAATACACCGAGTTGTTGTTGACTTGGTGTGTGGAAGCTGGTGAGAAAGTCTGTGTATGTTTGGGGGGATCCAGACATGTGTGGAATAGCATGACAGTTAGGCTGAAAGTGCTTTAAAATTCTACAGGGAAAATAAAAAGTGGGAACACAGCCAGCGTGGTGGAATCTTGGTAATTCTGGAATCTGGGCTGTGAGGGTCCCAGTGTAATTCTCTATTCTTTTGTCTATGTTTTCAACTGCTCAACACAGAGCACTTCCAAATAGTTAACAAGATAATGTGACAACGTGAAAAATCAACGATGCTGTATCAAATGCAAGCATCCACCCCGATGCTGCTTGCTCAGTGTGATTCGAATGCATGTCCATTTTGCACAAATCCATGTGGCACATGAAAGGATGAGCTGATCAGTAAGTGTGACAAGCTCTTTTTTCCCCCTACTAGCACTTTATTCAACACTGCTGCCATGATTTATTTTACCATGAGTCAAATTGAGGAAAAATACATCGGAATATTGCTTCTGTTTTGTGGATTTGTTTATAAAGAGGCAGAGCCTCTCTCTGCTGCCCAAGCTGGCCTGAAGCCCTGGACTCAAGCCATCCTCTGAGTAGCCTGATGGAGGCTGCGCGGCTGCACCCAGCTCCCAGATAGTCTTAATTCCAGGAGGTGCAGACATTGCTAGCAGGGAAGGTGGCGGAGGGAAGACAGGAAAGCACCAGCCTTAGCTCAATAAGGGTCCAGCCCAGGCAGGGCCTCTGATCCCAGCTCTCTGGTTCTCCCTCCCCAGCCAGAAGGGCCCGTTGTGCCCACAGCTCCCAGGACACCAGTCCAGGGCACCAACCCTGATCCTTACCAGCACTCTCCAGGACTCAAATTTTTTGTAAAATCCAAACAAGTAAGACAGCAGGAACATCAGGGTGATGAGAAAGGAGGTCAGGGAGACGTACATCACCCATCCTTGAAGCAGCGGGTTGGCTACGTGGGTGGCCGCTACCAGGATCCAGACCCAGCACCCAAATGCCTGTAAGAGAAAAGTGCGATGTGAGGGACGTCGCACCGTGTGGGGTGACATGTGCCTTCAGAGGGCATTTCTTTTCTCCTGTCTCTGGTCAAAAGCTCCATTGAAGCTGGAAGGACCCAGGAGGGAACAGGGAGGAAAGGTGGCCTTTCTGAGCCATGGTCAAGTTGGATCCTGTTAGAAGAGTCAAGGGGCTGACCCAGAGGTTGCAAAAGGAGGGGCTTCCCACCAAGTCCAGCTGTACCTTTTGAGCTCAAGCAGTGTTGGCATGTTCAGTTTTTAAATATTCTGAATAAGTCGCCAACATTTAAACAATATTTTTCACATGAAAAAAAAATCTAGATTTTGGATATTTCTTGAGAAATATATGGTTTTGGCCACAGCATACCCATTTCTCAGGCTAGAATGTGTTGTGATTGTCTCTTGAAAAAGGTCCTGAAGTCCCTAGTGGACCACATCCCCCTCCCCACCAACCCGATGCCATCTTCTAGACTCGCCCTGTTGCTCACCTACATGGTGGCGTAGCCCTCTCCTTCCACGGCTCCTGCCCCCCACTGAATGCCTGCCTGACCCTGGGGGCACATGATTTGAAGCCCTAGGTCATAGCAGCTGATGCCCTGGGGCCCACCCCCAGTTGGGTGATAGGGTTCCAGTTTGATGGCCTCTGCGTTCTGCCCCGAGATTTGATGTGTCTTTGGTAGATTTGGTGCCTTTACCTCTCCCTGTCCTTTCTGGGCTCAGCTTTTGTTTGCTTTTAGGCTAGGATGGCCCCTGTGTTGGTAGCCAGGGCAGGAACTCAGTGTCCAGCTAGAGGCTTGGGGGAGAAGGTCAGCCAGACACGAGGTTCCCTTGCCCTTTGTCTCCTGCTTTCTCAGCCCTTCCCCTTCCCCTGCTTAGGATGTCACTGCAGCCTCCTCTGGTGTCCTGATCTTGGTCCTGTTTAATCTGTACTTTTAAACACCACACTGGCTGGTGATATCATCTCACCTCTGCCCACTTCTCCCTGTGGCCTTCAGCCCCATGCCTGCACCTGCCCATCAGATGTCTCTATGTGGAAGTCCCTCTGCAGGGCTGACTCTGCACTTGCCTGCTCTTGAGAATGTCCATTAAAGTTTGCACCCTGTACCTTGCTTGCCCTACCCCAAGCCTGGACCTGCCCCTCAAACTCCTCACATCCAACAGGTACAAAGTCTGAACTCATGCCACTCCCAAATTCCTTCAGAACCCACTTAGCATGACTCATCTGGGAGAGAGAATAACAGGATTTAGCCTGAAGGAACAGAGGTTCCTGGAGAAAATGGCTATTTATTACAGCTCATCGTGGGCACACAGCACTTATCTTTAATAAAGCAATAAAATGTTTTTGAAAAAGAATAAGAGCCTGTCAACTGTGAGATCACTGGAAATGTGTGATGATGGCAGAAAGGAAGGGAAGGGACTCAAAGGTGACTCTCGAATACGTGGTTTGGAGGAATCACATGACCAGATTTTAAAACTTTCTGTAAAGCTGCAATAATCTGAAGAGTTGTGAATGCATGTGATTCTCAGGAGAATTTCTCAGGAGACAGCTCATCTCCTTCCCTAGTTCTGTTCCCGAGTTCACATAAATTTTAGAATCGGCTTTTTAGTATCTGTAATATATCTTTGATGAGATTTTTAATGTTAAATCCATAGATGAGTTTGCAGAGAACTGACATCTTTACTGTCTCGTCTTCCAATCCATGAACATGGTATGTCTCTCCAATTATGAATATATTCTTTGACTTCTTTTATAATGTTTTGCAGCTTTTAGCATATAGTTGCTACACATTTTGTTATTATTTATGCCTAATTATTTTATTGGGGGGGGGGCTCTTGTAAGTACTTTTACTTTTTAAAATTATTCGACTAGAGAGAAATACAATTGATTTTTAGCACAATGACATTATTTCCTGCAACTTGCTAAGCTTATTTATTAGTTCAAAGATGGTTTTTGTTGTTGCAGTTTGTCAGATTTCTTGGAGCTTTTAATGTGTCTCTTTAGGTTTTAATGTTAATGATTATTAGTGAGGTAGAGTGTATGTTTATGTATTTGTTGGCCATTTATATTTCCTCTTCTGAAAAATTTTAATTGATTCTATTGATCATAATTTTTTTTAACCTTACAGGAACTCTTCCCAGTAATGTAGGTATTATTGATTATTATACATGTTTCAGATAAAATTTGCTAGCATGTATCTCATATATTTTATGATGACTTTTGGTGAACTAATCCCTTCATTTCAATGCAATTGAATATGTCAATCTTTTCCTTTATAGATCATGCTCTGCCACAAGTTTCAGAAATTCCTCCCTACTCTGGGTCATGGAGATATTCTTGCATCTCAACCTTTTCTCCTAGGATCATTTTCTTTCTTCCTCAAGTACATGTTAGTGGTCTCTTTAGTGAAGGTAACTTGTTAATCTTCAGTTTGATTAGTTGTAAAATAGCCTTAATTTTCCCCTGAAAATTATCTCCTCTCTTATGTCCACCATGTTCTACACTTTCCCATATAATTCTATTGTTTTCTGGCTTCCATTGTTGGGGTCAAGAGGTCAGCTCAGGTGAACTGTTGCTGTTTGTAGGTATCTGTCGTTGACATCTGGCCACTTTGGGGGTCTTCTCTCTGGCTGGTGTTCTGCAGTTCATGCACTAGTGATACAGTGTGTGGAGATAGGAATATCTTTGTACTACTCCTGCTTGATATTAATTTTACATTCACTATACAAACATTTAATCACCTTGTCCTTGGTAGCTGGATTCTGCAGTCTGTGGTTTCCATTGATTTTTATTACTCTACACTTGTCTGCCCCTATATTTAGTGAATTCTGATTGGCGGTTCATGTCTGTGGCAGTCACTCAGTTCTGAATAATACTCTTAGAGAAATTCTGGGCAAACAATTTCACTCATTTTGTCTAGCTCAACAGAAAGACACACATTTCAGGCTCTGCTTTTCATAACACCCCTGGCTTTCTGGACTAGCAGTTCTTAACTTACAACTAGCCAAAGGATAGCTCCAGATATGTCACCCTGTCCTCCCCCTGCCATTGTCTTAGCAGGAAAGACACTTTTGCAATTATAGAGAATTTATAGGCTTTAAGGAGAGAACAGGAAGGGGAAGTAAGAAGTCAGTATAGAATAAGAAGTGGACACGGGCAGGGATCTCTATGCAAGGAGTACGCGTACAGCTCTAATAGGGCTGGGAAACAGCTCCAGAATCCTGGCCATTCCTTAAAATGCCAGTTCTCTGGGCAAATTCCCCCAGGCCCTAATAGTCAATCTCCAGATGAATTTTGGAAAATGGGAGCAGGTCTTGGGGCTGCCTGTGGCTGGGTGGGCTGACTTATCCTTAGCAGGGGGGTCTTGAGGGATGGGAGCTCTGTTCTTGAGATCCCCTGAACGGGGCTCTCCCACGTTGCTCCCTGTGACAGGTGCTGCTGATGCTGGTACTGCAGGGAGGTGCCAGGAGTCAGCTTTAGGCCACCTGCCAAGTGTGGTGCAAGAATGTGGCTCCCATGGCCAACACCCAGCCATGGTGACAATTAGAGGGAATGCCACCTAGGACTTGTAGGACCAGTGGCTGCACCAGGACTTGTAGGATTTTAGACTCACATGGGACCAGCAGAGAAAGGTTGGTATCATTCACAGATGTCTACCTGGTGCCCAGCACAGGGCCTGCAGAGTCATGGGGTGAGAGGTGCTGACGTGTCCCCCTTGGCATGAGTCTGTAGTAACTTCAAGACCACCTCTCAGTCCCCAGGTACTTCACAGGTGATGAAATGCCTGCCCACTCGGGCCACCGCCAACTCTAATTCCCTTAGAGAGACCACAGACCCCTTCCACTGCTGACCACCAACTCACCTGTGCCAGGCTTGGGAGTCGGCCAGGATGGCTCAGTCCCTCTGTCCCTGTCAGGGCCTGAGAAGGAGTCCCTGACCCTCTCAAGCCATCAGAGGCTGCCTTGGCCAGCCTAATCCTCACCCGTTTGTGAGGAGGAGAGGGAAGGGGTGTGTGCAGAAGCTGGATATGGGGGAGGACACTTGTGTCCCCAAGCCAGATTCCACACCTCAAGGACAGGGCCTAGACATTCCTAGGATGTGCCCCAGGTTGGCCTACTGGGAGAATTAAAGGCCTAGGTGGGAATCTCCCACCCGCAGCACCAGAGGGCCCACCCTGGACTCCCCACTTTGGGTCCCTGCTGTGTTTTGGGGATCCCAGGTCCCACCTTTTACTCTTACACAAGCCAAAGCCCCCCAAACATTTGAAAACCCACTCAAAATGTGTGGGAATCTTTTGAAGTGGCTCTGCTGTTGTGTAATCAGTGGAATCAGAGAAATGCTATTGCTTTTCATTTCCACGCCCCTCTACCTTCTAAACTGTGGCCTGGACCAGGGCCAGGGAGCGACTCCAGGTGAATTAAACCCAGTGGAATTTGTTGGCTCATTTCTGCTTCAAGTCCCGTAGGTCGGATCTTTATAGGTTGAGAACTCGGAATATTTGTTTATGCTTTTTTTTTAAAGAAACTCATATTTAACTTTTCAAATCTTCCTGGAAGCCTCAATGGCCCTTCCATTTAAGTCTTCATTGTGTATTTCCCAAGAGCAGGAGATTTTTTTCGGTGGTTGGGGCTGGCCCTCGAAGTGGAGGACTATTTCACCACAGTTAGACATCCGTCTACGACACTTGTGTTTCAAGTTCAGCCTTGGCTGGGGCTTTTTCTTATAAAGCTCACTTGTGTGTTCACTTGCTGAAAGTCTAACTCGAGGTCTGAAAGGATCATTGGGGTAGGAGGGAGCACAGTCACAGATCTGATCACTTATTCATAGGGAACAGCTCCCTCCTGTTTAGAAATCTGGTTAAAGAATACAAGATTTGGGTTAATGACATCCAGCCGGGAGAAGGGGCTGGTTGCAGATCTGGGTGGGGGCTGAGCCTGGCCACTTATCACACAGTAAGACCCCACAGGCTCCTGGGGTCAGATCA